CAAGTCGATAAGAAAAGTCTAGAACCAAAATTGAGCCAGCACAGAGGAGAACGATTCATACTGTGCTTGGTAAGGTCACAAGTCTTTAGAAATAGCTGGAAGTAATAAAAATCGAACAAGACAACAGAAATGTGTTGCACACTATAGATATACCGTCAGTCCAACTTTCACATAATAAGTCCAAAACCCTGCCCCCCCCCCCAAAAAAAACACGAAATAAACCAAAATCTTCTTTTTGTTCTAAGCATGAAGAATTCTTCAGAAACATTTTGACTGTATTTTAGAGAGTTAAAGCGTTTAAATGATAAAAACTATATATCATAGACGTTTTTCTCAGTTTTAATGTGGAAGGTTGAACTTTTCAAAGTTTGGTCACACTGTTTGAAATTTCTGCTCAGCTCAAAATAAAATTAAACGTTAGCCCTCTCCGAGGTAAAAGTTGTATTCTTGAACACGTGTAATTTTGCTATAAAAATACAATGAAATTAATTAATTAAATGGTTTTCAAACTGAATTTCTTGAAAATTGTAACTTCTACGTTTTATGTAATTAACCGGACGACGGATAAGTTTATTTAAACTGAACAAAAAATAAATTAGGTTAAAAACAATTTGTTTTCTTGTTCAATCTATGTTTTCTTATTCATTACTCTAACGTTTTACAAGATACTTTGCGGACATGCGGTATAGCATAGTATTGTTTTATTAGTACTACTTCTGGTCAGTATTGTCATTTATAACTTGTAAGCGCCGCGCGACCTTAATGTACGCAAATTATTACAGGTTTTTCTCGGTGAATGAAGTGACCGGTGTACGGGTTTGATGACTAATAAATCAAAATTAAAAAACTAGAGTTCCTCGAAGTAATATGGAAAAACATGTTTATCCGACAAACATGTTTATCCGACGGCCGTGCCTTAACTTTAATATACAAAACGCATTCTCTAAATCGCCTATAACACGTCACGTCTCAATATATCATATTACGCTCTATTATGATACACATGTGATTCAATTAAATTCGACAACAGGAAATAATAATAAATAAAACGGATCGTTTCTCGTTCGCGACATCAGACGTCACATACATTTAAGTTGTATCAGGCCACGACAGAAATCATTTCGCTTTGAACGCACATCTTCCTGTTTACTCTTATAATGAAAAAATAATTTATATTGTTTGGCGTTTGTGTACATCTAAAAAACATATAATTACAATATATGTACACTATTACAATATATAATTGTTGATATTTTTAATCTACAACAGTGTGATTGACAAACGTCATCAAATTCATCATAAGCAATAATGAGCGGTAGGTAAATATAAAAAAAAGCCAACGGACGAGAAAAGTTTTTTTTTAAAGTTGGGTAAATATGTGTTTTAATTTTTTGTAATTTGGACCAGATATGTTTTTAGAGATTTATCCGGTTCACATATTATATCGAATAGCCAAAGAAATACTTCACTGGGTCAGGATTTTTTTGTTTTTAATGGGTGTTTGTGAACTCTGTACAACACCGTTATGGAAAAAAACCAGACCTTAAGAAAAACGAATATTTAAATATAACTGTAACTAAATTTAATTATATTGCCTATATAAAACAAAAATCTTTTAAAACCGTCCGCTTTCAATCGCCTTAACTTTTTTATTTTGAGTGGGAAAATTTCGTATTTTTATCAGACGTATAAACCCTTACTTTTAATAATTAAGACAATTTTTTTAAATTTGCCAACTGGCTGACATGATTGTTATCTGATGTACTGAGTTAAAATTGCAAACTCACTTTAGCCACGGTGTAAATAAAATGATAAAAAAAATAAAAATTTATTCGTTATGTCTAACGAACATGCCACTGAAATAATTTATATCTGCATGTTATCTGCTTTTCTTGGGCTCTTGAGATAAAAATCTGCTATTACTCCACGAATACAAGAACCAGAATTGCAATGGTCCTATGGTAGGAGGACGTCATTATGTTTTAGACTTTTTAATTTTACACTTGTGTAATACAGACGAAGAGAGGAAGTATAATTTATTGTTTAGAATGACTTTTCCTTGTTAACATATTATTTTATTATTGTACGACCCATTTGTTGAATACAAATATTTCATGTAACTGTCTCAATGCCTCAATAGTACTTAGGTAATTTACGTCAATACTTAGGTATTTACAGTTCATACTTTGTATCACCTAACGACTTCAAAATTCACTGTATACTAAGGAGGTGTCTTTTTATCGTTTAAACTAAAATCAAGGCAATTTTCATTTTGTATTTTAAGAGGGCACCTTACATTCGTTTTAAAATATATATTTAAGGCTAAAATTGTAGTTTTTACGTTTGCGAAAAGCTATAATAATTCCTATTGCCGGACTTACTCCTAAATATATGCAGGTTAGGCAACAGTACTAACGCACCGTCAGTTTCAGGACTCTTTGAGGCGCAGAGAGGAGGATGTCGCATTTGCAATTGTTTTGGCGATTTGTATTGGCGATGTTTGTGAACAATTAAAGTTTAAGATCACATAAAAATGCTTAAAAAAAATTGGCGAGATCTTGAAGCAAAAACTAAAAGTGTAAACGCATGATCATTTTTAGGCTTCGTCAAATAAATCGAGTAATTGAATAAATAAGTTGAGAATATGAGTAAATCATACGAATTTTCTCAGCTTACACCCAGCCTAAAAACATTAGTAAATTAAAATACTTGAGATTTTCAGTAAAACTATAAATGTAGAAGCATGTTAAGAGAACGCCACACAGGCCATTTCTTAATTTAGAGTTTGAACTATAATGTATACTTATTAGTTATTAATACAGTATTGAGGATAATTTGTTGATTGCCATTTATTTGGCCGGACTATCACAGTCATTTCTATAGGATAAAATAAAATTGTTTTGCTATCAAAACTGCTTTGCGCGGATTAATTTTACTCAGGCTTCATATATAGTTAAAAAAAGAAATTCATACATATTATTTATGACAAAATTATCGGTGTTCCATCATCCGTATTTTTTCGATATACCTAATACAACCAACGCTATGTCATTTTTAAAAAAATCAAAAAAGTCCTATCTTAATAAATTAATTATTCATTAACTGGTTAAAATATTAAAAAAAGGGCGATGGTATTACACAGACAATGTTGTTGTCTGTATTATATAATAACTTGGTTTCTTAGTTTTGATTATAGCCTTTGTAAAATTAATCCGCGAAAGGCGGGTTTTTTGAAGAAAATAACGGTGTGTGACGTCCTCTAAATATTGTTTTTAGGCTTTTTTTAAATAAGCCAAATAAACGAGTAAATAAATCCAGTTAACAAATCGAGTAAACCATTGTAGTAAATTTTCTTCACTCAACGGAAACATTGAATCATGGATATGTTTTTAGCATTACGGGTCCTCCTTTAAATAATTAATTTAACAGAATTATTATAATACATTATAATACCATTAACCTGTAAACATTAAGTTATAATTTAGCGTTTAACTTCATCGAGGAAATCATAAAATATATAATACAACACGCGACTGACTGAAATCGCGTTAACGAATAAATACATCAAGTAAACTAGTGGATGAATATTTGAGTAAACGAGTAAACCAATGTAGTAAACGAATAAATATATTGAGTAAGCAAATAATCAAATCGAGTAAATTAATAAAAAAAATCTAGCTGATAAATCGAGTAAGCGAGTGAAAATAAAAAAACGAAAGTGAAAACGTTAAAATATATTCAATTTAAAATAAAAAAAGTGGTAATTGCCAATTTGTATATACTATATTTTAGGTCTAAAAATTCCATAAAAAAAAAATCCTAACAAATATTAATTATTGCTCAACTAATAATATTAGTTTGTGCCTACGATTACCCGATAGAGAAATGACAACTTCCGTTTAGGTACTATTTTTTAATGGGATAGATGAATTTTATGTTTTATTAAATAGAATAAAATCTTCGACTTATGCAAAACATATTTATAAACTATAATATCTGTTAGTAGGCAGAATTATTTTTTTAATGTTTACATTGCCGATTGACCTTTTGGTTATACTTGATGGCCTTGTACAATGTAATGAGTAATGCATGAATATAATTTAAAACACAATTATTAATTATTTATTGTAATATTACATGTTTTTACTCAGTTTTTGTATTTTGTTTTCGTTTAATAGTATATCAAATTTCGGGTCCGTATAAAATTTACATTTTCCAGATAAAACCGGTTTTAACCTGACCGTTAAGGGTGACCCAGTAAAAACCATTATTAATAAAATACATACGATCCGTATTGAGGGGTGAAGGTTAGGGGTTAAATGTCTAGCCTCTAAAGTCTCCCTCAGTTACACCGATGAATAGGACCTCGATTACAAGTTTAACGAACGCGTTCAACAATATACTTAGATCACTGATTTACGCTTGTGCAACAACTTGTGCATGGAGACTATTAAACGGTCGCGTCGGGTTTGGGTAGCGCACGCGCACCTTGGCCGTAAATAGCGCGACATACGTTGTGTACGTACGACGTTTATAACGCAAACGTACAAATTGGAGAACGCATACGTGTACTGCACAAAACGTTATCAGCCCCGGACGCGGTTCGTGGCGTCGGCTTGTTGATATTATATAGATCAACTATTATTATCAAATACCTCGGCCGCGGTACTATTATACCATTATAATAATATACCTTAGCTGATATCCGCGTGCCGGTTACGGACGGCGGTCAGCCGGTCACCGTCACGCCAGTCGAGCGGGGTGGGGGAAGGGACGACTGCCATGTCGCCGTCGCGCGGTTGCCAATGCGGCGTTATCGCTCGGCCATTGACGCTCCTATCGCTGTGCGAACGCCGTTCGGTGTTATTATTTTTGTTTTTCGTTTTGATACGTTGTCGTTTGGTTTGATATTCCGTTGAATAATACCGTAGTTTTTCGTACGAGTCCGTCTGTAATTATTACATTTTGTTGTTCGTTTTTGTTTCCGGTCGGATCAACAGATCGCACGGCCACCTCGTCAGCACGACATGTCGGCCAACACGACCATACCGGTCGCGTCGTCGCTCGCCGGCAGACAACAACAGCAGAGGCGACGCAGACGACGTGCCGGCGGCGAACTTCGTCCGTCGACGCCGGCCGGCCGTCCGGACGGGTCTTCTTGGCCGCCGGACGCCACCGCCTCGGCGGCCACCGGACATAACGGCGGCGTCTCCGACCGGACACCGCTTTTGCTGGACGACGAAGACGACTTTTATTACGAGTACGACGATGCCGGCGCCAGATCTTTGGACGGGTGAGTCTCACAAAAAACCACCAGACATCCATCCAACGAGGGTCGTTTTAGAGCCCCTGCCCTCCCAAAATTTGATCACCTCTCCACTCTTGAATGTTAAGCTTGTATATATTTACAAAACAAGTCTTACGCATTTGTTTTTTATTTTGACAACTTACCGGCTCATTTCGTATGTGGATTGAGGTAATTCGACGTGAGTGTGTGACTGTGTATGGGGTCACATTTTACCTTGGGTAAATGTGAATAATAATATTGCGATTGTAGACAAAGCTGACGTTTTTATAAACGAATAGATTACGCCATAGAAATCTTAAATGTGTGTTATAACAGTTATGTGGTATACCTATTTGTTTATGAAAAAATGTACTGATATCAGCATTATTAATGTTTATCGTATATAACAGCGTCAATTTAAAAAGCTGGATAGTCTGTCAGAGAATTTTTTGAAAAAAAATCTATGTAATCTTGGTCAATTGTGCATAGCTATGGTAAATTTGTATTGACATTTTATGAGCCTGTGATTCAAAACATACAGTTTCGCTATATAAAAAGGTAAACGGTAAAAGGTTATAATATGTAAAAGTATCTTAGTACAATTTGCAAAAATCTTTGTAAAGCCCGTTTATAATTAGCCCACATGACAGTACAGTGATCAAATAAAAATTAAATACTACCTATGCTTTTAGAATAGGCTGTACAAATTTAGAACGTATTGAGCTGTGTTCCTAATCTTAATTAGGTACACTGATATTTACCATGGTGACTATTCTGTCGATTGGTAATAGAGAAATACGATTAGCCTAAGATTATATAATAATGATTTAAATGCATATAACTAATTAACAGTAAACTATCGACTGCCAACGATTGTTTCGGTACAACACGTTTACAATAGACGTTTCAGAAAGAAAGAAAAAATGCAGCGTTTGTTGTTTCTTTTATAAAAAACAAATTACAAAATTGCATTTTAATATTTCACCATTTGTATAAAACCGTCCAACATAATACCGAAATAATGTCAAAAAAATTCTATAAATTCGGTAGCTGCTTTTAATGACGGTTAACGTTAAACCCGTTTAAACCGTGTGAGTTTGAGAACCACTAATCACCGCGACTTTGATGCTCGTCCCCAAAAAGAGTGGCACTGGACACAGTATTATGAAACAACAGCAATATGATGTTGTTATACTATTTGTTTTCTACACATAACATCGTGTAAACAGTATTCATTTTGTTGACACAAGCAAAATAGGTACATATGTTTGTAACATATATTTTCTAACAACACTTATTGGTCTATTCGTACCAATACACAGTTTCATAAATAAAATTATAAAAAACATGCAGTTTTTTTTTATAAAACTGCAGTAAAAATGTAAAATATATTGTCTATTAAATTCTATTAAAATACTTACTCTAGTGTAAGACTATGGTGCATAGAGTTCGATGAACAATGTGTAAATTTAAACAATAAGTTTTACTTCTAAAAATTCTAGTAGAGCTTTAACTTAAACAGTTTCTTCAATAATTTTTACTGAAATGTTCCAAACTATAATTATCTACAAAATAAAATATTTAAAAAAATTAAGAAGAAATTTAACCAAGCAAGGTGTAGTTAAAATTATTGATGTGGCTAAATCATTTACTTCTGAAATACTAATAGAACGTTTTTTAGGAAATTTGTCTTCTAGAACTTTTAAATTAATTTTCTAATGACACTTATATTTTCGAGAACATTTAAATGTCTGTTGTAGACATTGTTTGTTTTAGGTTGTATTACAACTGTTAAAATGGAAAATATTAAAAAACGTGCTTTATCTGTTTCGACTTTTGGTTTGATTTATTAAAACGATTATAATGTAAAAAATTCTATCATTACAGAAATATTATAGTTAAAAAATAGAGTACAAAAATCGTGAAATTTTGAGCTAAAGCCAGAAAAGTGGTAACATGATAATGTTTTTAGGCTCTGTTAGGTAAAAACTTGTATGTAAACAAATTGAGATTATTGTGTTATTTATTACTTCAAACATAGTAAATTAGTTAACATTATCATGTTAAAAAAATATATTACTGTAACTGTAAATACAGATGCATACAGCTTAGGTCAGATAGCTAACTGCCCTAATAGTCTACAAAAAAACAGTATCTACTACTTTACTCTAAAATTATTCAAGTTTATTTTATCGCAGTATTATGAACGAAAATATTGCCTATTTACCAAACATGTCATGTACAAAAATAAATGACAATAGCGTACCTTTGGTCCATAACGACTAAACGAGAATTGTCTAACTTTTTGTTTTCCACAAGTTTACTGTAAATAAGCATATTATTATGTTGTTTTTTTTTTATAAAATATTCGTCGAACAATTGAGATTAGCTCAAGGCGAAATCAAGTACTAATTGTTAATTATCATTAAACAATGAACGTCACTAAAAATAAAATATAATACAAATATTGTGTCACTTATTTTTTTTTTTTTACATTCGTGTTGAAACGGAATAGATTCGTTTATCGAATCAATTGTGGAAAGGCCTGAAACGATTGAATATAATTATTTTCACCTTGGACGTGTGCAACTGCAGTATATTGTATTAAAGTTGCACACAGGAATGTGCAACGTAAATGGCAAAGGAAAAAAAACAGTATTATGAAACACGAAGAATGATACTGCTAGATTACTAAAAATCTACATATTCAAATAAGCGCATAATATTAAATTGATGTATTATAACAAACACATACAGGTATTTACAGGTTGAGCTTAAGAAGCGGTTGACGTTTTAACGGTTTAGAATGTCTTGGTTTTAAATTGCCAAAAGAAGAGTACGTGCGGAATTGGGCCAAGGCCGTCTGTAAGGCAAACGAGAAGTGTTAGATGGAAAATGCCGTGTGACAAATTGTATTTACTGTATAGACAAACGTGGAGGTGACCCCGGGCACAAGTCTAATGTTTAGAAGAAAGTTATTGATTAACAGCTGATTCGCTCACAGGCGGTATATATATAATATGGTCAACTGGACTGATAACGAACATTGACAAAGCAACTAAAATCTAACTCGAAATAGTGTATTAATACATTTTTTTGTCATTGCAATGTAAAAAACACTGACTCTTAGTTTGAAGATTTGTGTTTCCTCGACCTAGCAACCCACGGTATTTGTACTATTCTATATATGATCGTAAAAAATGTTAAGCCTTTCTATATTGTTGCCAATACTGGGACAGAGGATGATATCGAATGTGTGTGTCGCCCAACCCCCTAGCTGGAAGAAGAAGAATAATATATCTTTGAATTGTCCAGCCAATCAGATTTGACATGGCCTGTGGTTTCACTGTTAATTTAATCGTTCCCAGAATCCTATTCTATTAGATTAATCTGTGACTGGTGTTAATTTGCAGTCTTCTAATCATTGCGCCACGGACCTTGGGGTCACGGTTGATGACTTGTAAATGTTCACACCGGCATAGAAAATTGTACATGATTAAATTTCTCAGTTTTGCTACTGGCGAAATATCAAGGTATGAAATGGTAATTGCAAGGATGCAGATTTTCCAATATGTTTCAATAAAAATCGGTTGAAGATGACAATTTGAAGTACTGTACATTATATTATAGCAGGATGGTCGTGAGCTGTTTGTGACTAAACTATAAGCCAGTCCTAAAGCGATCAAAAATCTAACTCACCTTGACTTGTGGATTTTTTCAAAAACGTCAATGTACACACAACACTAATGTGTAACGTCTATGAATAATTGTCATTTGTGCTGATTGAACAGGAAAATGTTAGGTCATTAAACAAATTACGATTTGAGGAGAAGATGTATGTCAGGAAGATGCGAAAACCTAATTAGAAGTGTCGGGAGATGATATCAAAGAGAGGAGTATGGCTCAACAGCTAAACATAACGTAACGTTTCAGTCGCATTTGTTTGTACCGTGTTCCAAATAAATACACTAATACCAACAAACAAGCTTGTGTACATAGAAATTGCCTAGCTTGTACTCCTTTACGGACGTTTTCCATCAACAGTTGGCTTTGATATTGAAAGTTTTTGGTTGCGGCACGATTGGCTGAGAAGATTTTAAATCCTGTATAACCGTGGTGTATTATTTTAAGGTGTAGACATCCCATCGGCTTTTGATTGAGAGTGATTTGGTGCAAACGTAAGTGACATAATCGTTTATCTCGGCCCAAAGATGGCGCTGGTAATACTACAAACAAAAATACTGAGCATTGGTTTTAGTTATCGTTATATTTGAAATAATAAATCACTTCAACATATTCATTTAGGTGTAGAATTCTCCACGCGTGTACCCAAAAAAAATTGTACTTGTTTTTGTTCAGCTTAAGCAAAATACTTGGGAGTTAAACAAATACTAAAATATAAAACAAACGAAAATGTATGTTGTTTTATTCATTTTTGGTAAATTCTGTGTGATTATTTTGTATTATATGTGTGTTTTATAATATAACCATGGTAAAAAACTATCGGATCAATTAACAAAAAAATTAAATTATTTTATATAACAAAATAAAAACCTTTTACTTACCATACTATTTATAACATATTCAGGAACACAATTTTCTAAACTGGTTTAATCAAATTCTGTCGGCCATTCCTAATTTTGTCTACCCGAATCATTCTCAGACCAGTTTTGCTATAAATTATAATTTCATTATTTTCCTTTCTTGGTCGTTTTATAATCCCTCTTTTAATTTCTTACAGCTTTGACGAGAGAGCTTTTCCTTGTACTAATATTTATTTACAATTTTTTTGTTTTATTAATTCAATTGACATTTGAAAATTGGTATCTATATTTTGATTTACTTAAATTACACTATACACTAGTCAACATTAAAATTGTTCGATTGCAATTGTTTGTCATTTATATAAATTTATTTATATTTTATTGTAGAATTCAAATTATGGACGTATACAACTGTTTGGTAAATTTTTATTTTAAATTTGCTAATACTTTTATCAGAAAGGC